AAATGTGTTCTGGTCAGGTGACTGAACTGACTGGACGGACCAGCTGGCTCCCATAATAGACAAACATAGACCTACAGGAGGACAACTCATACAGTGTGATATTAGTCATCATTTCCTGACTACAATTATCATTAATCAAATCTTATTCAACTTAAACTCTCAGATAAATGTCATGTTTTCAAACCCCTATCAGCAAATCTAAAGCATTGTACCTTCAATTTTCAATTATCTAGAATTCTATTAAAGTTAAAGTAAAACTTGATAGGTAAATCAAAGACATATGTTAACAAATTTGTAAAAATGAATCCTAAAGTTATAAAGATATGACTTTTATTTGATCCTGATCAAAGTACTGTGCTTACTGTAGTAGCTGAGATCACAGAAACTATGAGTACCACAGAAGCTGTCATCCTTGCAGGATCGGAGGTGGAAGGGATTAAAGTCTCAAACTCCACTGTCATGTTTTGAAACTGCAGCTACATTTAGAATCAGGATTAGGCAAATGTTTATTCTACCACACTTCTGCAAAGGTACGTTCACTTGGCTGGATTATTGTGTTACTTATGATGCTGTGATTTACTACATGTTGTCAGTTTGCGCCAGTAGATCTCTTGGAAATGTACATTATATATATTTTTTAACAAAGGAGTTTGTTCTCATTCTGAGCTAAAAATGTTTACCTTAGAAAGACTTGCATGTAGCAACAGGGTATATGCAGGAATCCTGAAGTCACATTTAATACATTTTAAGACCTTTTTAAGACCCTTTCCATACATTTTAAGACCTCATCGCCACTTCGAGTTTTAACCGGTTACATTGGCGACACACTTTACCTCACATTTACTATATACAGTATTGATTGTCCTTCCTCCTTATCTTCCAACCATTTGGACGCAAACTTGCATTTCCCCATAACGATGTTGTTTAACAACCGGCGTAAACAGAGCTTTGCGCGCTATCAAGCAGTGAGCGCGCGATGTCCGGTTCAGATGACGTCAAATCCAACGGGATGCCATCAATAAACGACACAGAATCACACTACACACCTACGCAATGATTACATTCAGGCTAACTGTAGAATACAACCTCTTTGGACAATTTATATACTTATTGAAAACAAGCTACAAAATGTAATACCTTGAAAGATGCCGTTTAATACTTTTTAATAGCCTTAACTTTTAATACTTTTTAAGACCCCGCGGACACCCTGAGCAAACATATTTTCTAAAGTTGTTTCAATAGAGGGGTTTTTCATATATCAGGCATACATGATTTATAACATTTGTATTCCTAAAACATGATTGCTGTTGACAGTATTGTGCTTTATAAAGTGATGCAAAGAAATCTTCCCCAGAAACGTTTTGTAATTTTAAACAGTCAGACAGTGGGCGCTGACGGTAGCAACACAGGAAGTAAACTGAAATGTGAGAAAAAGTGAGATCTCACGGCACAACAAAGGGTTAAAGGAAGAGTTGCAAACTGTGAGCAGAAATATAACAAGCAAAAGAACACTTATGCACAAATATACCACTACAGTTATTACAGTAAGTGCCTGTCATCTACAATGAGCTGAGTTCACAGGAACATCCCAACATGAAGCCTCTGAATGCAGAATAAAAGGAGTTACATTTAAAATGTTATACTCATGGTTCACAAATCATTGTTGCGACCATGTAGAACACAAAAGGCTCAAAAAAGATTAGAGAAGTAAAGAAGGAAAATGGTAATCACATCTTTGATTTTCTTTAACGTTTACATTGAAGTCATGCATGAGTGGTATAATTATAGGCTGCGGAGTGAGACAAAGGAACTGGCAGAGCACAGAAATGACAAGAGATGATAATAGGAGGAGATATACGGTGAACCCTGAGGAAATGTATAATTGTTCACAGAAAACATTTTAAATCATAATATCTTTTGATCTATTAACAAACATTAAAGTTACTTTATTGTTAAAGTGGAAGAGAAGTAAACCTGGAATTTGTTTAGCAGGATAACGTAAACACTACCGGACATTTGGGGAAGCTGTTAAGCATGGACCAACGAAGAATCCGTCAAACTTTGGAGCAATTTGGTCGAACTGGTCACAAATTGCAGAAACAAACCTGTGACTACTCCCATGAAATATCACATAGCTCTTTGAAAATATGATTTAAAATTGGACAAAACATCAGGTTTTAGTTTATACATTAAACTATGTTCCTAAAACTTGAATCAGTTCTCCTACTGCAGACACCTAGGACCCAAGAGCCTTTGATCGGCTTTTGATACACTTCAGCTTTTATCTTCTTATTTTCTGCTAGCAGACCAACTATGATGAGCTCAGTGATGCAGCAGGACAGAAGAGTAGATATAGGTGTGCCGAAAAATGACGTCATAGATATGAGGTGTGTATGCGTGTGTACTGTAAAATGTTCCTGACTGGAAATCCAGTCAGTATTCAGGTGAGATCGTGTTAGAAAGGTTACGTGTAGCAGTGTTTGAGTGTGCGTGTGTGTGCGCGCGTGTGTGTGTGTATGTGTAAGGATTTGTTAGAAGCAGGTGGCTCAGTCTGTCATTAAGGGCTGAGTCACTGTGCTAGCGTCAGTCCTGGACACACACACACACACACACACACACACACACACACACACACACACACACACACACACACACACACACACACACACACACACACACACACACACACACACACACACACACACACACACACACACACACACACACACACACACACACACACACACACACACACACACCACACACACACACACACACACACACACACACACACACACACACACACACACACACACACACACACCACACACACACACACCACACACACACACACACACACACACACAAAGATTCTAGACGGGACAATGGTGCTTTTTTTTTTTGGATAACGGGGGTTTTCCAGACGGAGCAGACGATTGCCTGAGGTCCCACTCCAATATCTAATCAGAGCCGGGAAAATACTTTTGTCCAACTCAAGATTCGTTTTTTCCAACCTTTTAATCTCATCCCGTTTTATCACTCTTCTCAGAAAAAGAAGAGTCTTCATCATCACTGTCGAAATCCTTCAATTACAGTCGTTCTTACAAACTGATGCTTTATAAACTCTGTGAAGTTTTCAGGAAGTGTCAATGGATCAATGACTTTCACCTCACCATATCAGGGAGTGATCTCATGGCTGTCAGCTGTATGAAGATGTGACTTATAAGCTGTTGACCGTGAGCCTTTTCTTGGTTTACCCCCTCTTTCCGCATCCAACGACAGCGCATTAGAATAAAAAATGCCTTTCAGAGAGGTTTGTACCAAAGATGTCATGCAATACAAATACAATGGTACGAAAAAGGTAGGTTTTAAGACGTTTGAGTGGCTCAAACTCATACACACACACACACACACACACACACACACACACACACACACACACACACACACACACACACACACACACACACACCACACACACACACACACACACACACAACACACACACACACAACACACACACACACACCACCACACACACACACACACACACACACACACCACACACACACACACACACACCACACACACACACACACACACAACACACACACACACACACACACACACACACACAACACACACACACACACACATGGCAATTGAGGCAATGTATCCTTCAGATTTGTATCAAAGACTCTTCAACGTGTGGAAAGGAGAAGCCATGTATTGAACCACCATCTTTGATATTAATGGACAACCAGCAAGGCGTTGACATGTATTCATGAACAAGTACTCAACAGATATATTATCACATTAACATAACATCATCAGACTCAGGATGGTCAGTTGAAATAAAAAAAACAAAGACAATAGAATCAGAGATACCACTATGTTATTCGACATATTTTCAGAGCTGTCTATAAGCTGCTTATTTAGCTGCTAGCCGCTAGCCTCAGGCAGAACTGATATCTGAACTAATGTGATGTTTTGAACTCTAGATCTCTGTTGCTTAGCTCCCTCTGGAGCCAGAAAAATGCTGTATACATCTTTCTCAACATGCAGCAGAACTCCCCAAGACCTAAAAACTGACTTTGATGTGTAAAATCTGTGTGGCTCCATGAAAGATGATGAGGTTGCCAAATCCTATGGAGTTCATTAATACATTCAGCAAATGTAACAGTAATGTGGTGAACAGTTGAGATTTTTTGTTGGACGAGTCTTGGACAATCCAAAACTGCCATACTTTTAGCCCCGCCTCTCGAAAAGGCACAAATCCTACTGTGTTTAAATGTCAGGGTGTGTTTGTTTGTGACTTTCAAACAGAGTGCAGTGTGTGTTTGTATGTTCAGCGCCGGCTAAAGAGAACCGTGTGTGTGCTGCAGCAGCGATGGCTTGTGCGATTGTCACTCTAATTGTTTCCATCTTTGAGTGTGTGTGTGTGTGTGTGTGTGTGTGTGTGTGTGTGTGTGTGTGTGTGTGTGGCTGGCAGTCCCTTCAGAGGAGCAGGCCACTTCAGAGCAGCCATGGAACCACCACAGGCTGACAGTGCCTGTGCTGCCACTTCACACACTGTGTGCGTGCCATGCTGTGTGTGTGTGTGTGTGTGTGTGTGAGTGTGTGTGTGTTTAAAAGAGGGACAGGAAAAGAAATAGCAAGAATATGAATATATTGGTATATTAAATTGATTTGTGTGTGTGCCAATGAGATGAATGATGTGTTGACAGTACAAACAGTGTGTGTGTGGAAGAGGGTTTCAGAAACAATTCAGCAGCTCTCTGGAGTATGGCTGTGTGTGTGTGTGTGTGTGTGTGTGTGTGTGTGTGTGTGTGTGTGTGACACTCTTAAAAGTGTGAAACTATAAAAAAATAAACCCAACATAAGTACAAAAGGCTGTGTTATGTAATATGTGTGAACATCTCTCTTTTGTGTTTGCGTCCAGGTTAACAGCTGTATATAAATATGTGTGTGTGTGTGTGTGTGTGTGTGTGTGTACTCACCTGTCTTTTGGCTCATGTCTGTGGGCAGATGTGGAGGACTTGGGTTGAAGTGCTCGTTGCTGTAGGGCAGGAGTGACGTCAGGGGGTGCATCCCGTGAGACTGCTGCACCACCGACACTTTGTTGGACTGTGGACAAGACACAGAGATACAAAATCAGTTAAGATAATATTATTTCTTTCATGATTCTCTACATGTTCCATGATATAGGGTTGCAGAGCTCTGTTTAAGGAGGTAGGATTCAACACAGATGCCAATGTTATTTCCCTAGTCGCTACTGGGGACATTGGCTGTCATATACACAAATCCAGCTGAAAACACACACACATTAAGGACCAAAATGAAAGATAGGGGAAGAAAGCTGGACATCTTAAACCTGGTTTTGAACAAACCTGGGCTGTACTTTGCTGCTGTTGGTGGGGAGGAGAGCGGCGAGGAGGAGAGGAGGAGGTCCATTTGATCGATAAGCCTTTGATGATCAAGTGAGGCTGCGTGCAAGTTTGTTTGCTTTCATGTTGCTGTTTACAAATGGCTTTCAATAACTCAAGTGAAATCCAGCTAATGCTCACAGCATGCTGGCCGACAGACGATATGTCACAGCGGTTTGAAATGTCGGAGGCAGCTTACCAGACTTGTACACTGTATAAGTCTGAAACACGACATACTGTATGTGTGCATTCATGTGTGTCTGTGTGCATGTGTGTGTGTGTGTTAGGACTGTGCAATGAAACGTTTCTTTTGGTATGATTATGCATCTTGCTCTATGAGTATGAATGTGTGTTTGTCTATGTGTGCGTCAAAGCTGTATTAAGTCTTTGAAAGCTTGGCTGAAGTGCGGATTGCATGAATATATCTGAAAAAAGTTTTTTAAGTTATTTTATTTTGTACACTGAGATGGACACGCCTGTGTGTGTGTGTGTGTGTGTGTGTGTGTGTGTGCGCGCGTGTATCAGCACTACAGAGGGGCAGATCTGGTGCTACTTGCGGGGCCACCTGCTGTGTTACAAAGTGAATACCTTATCACTTAAAGGCAGAGCTTCAACGTGCTCCACTCCACATTAACACACACACACACACACACACACACACACACACACACACACACACACACACACACACACACACACACACACACACCACACACACACACACACACACACACACACACACACACACACACACACACACACACACACACACACACACACACACACACACACACACACACACACACACACACACACACACACACACACACACACACACACACACCACACACACACCACACACACACACAACACACACACACACACACACACGGCTAGCTGTGAAGCTAAGATCAAACTGCGAACCCACATCTAATGTGGAGACACGTGAAAATAAAACGCACTGCTTCTGTACCGGAGAGTCGAAGGGTGGGAGGTTTGGGGGTGGGGGAGGAGATGGTGTGGGAGTAGGGTGGAGGGGGTTACGTTAGAGATAAGGTGGTCTGCATTCATTAAAACGTGAAGAAGCCCTCAGATTTGCGGTAGGGATTTTGAAAATGTTAACAAATTTGAGAAAAATGATCAGGATCAGAACAAAGGCAGCTCAATCACCTGAACGTCCCACAACACGTCATGTGGGATGGAAGTTAGCCGTGGTCAAGACTATCTAAGATTTACTTATTAAATATATATATAATAATGTAATATGTAATGTAAAGCGCTTTGAGCATTCGGAAAAGCGCTCTAATAAATGTAATTAATTATTATTATTGTTAATATGAATCCCTATCCTGGAGTTTTTCTTTCACAAATTGCTAGAAAGTGTTTTCATGCAAAAGCACCTCTGTAGATTCTGATTGTGCTTATACACATTACTGATTGACTTATTTTCGGGAAATCAGCATAAAACAATGATTTAATAAATACCCGTTGACTTTCTCAATGCTTGTTCATGGGAGAGTATTATCATTGGTACCTTCGAATTACAAAGTACAGTTTAGATCTAAAGATATGCCAATTGTTATGAAGAAAATCGTCCCATACGACTTGAAAAGCCCAATTGTACTCTTGAAACCACTTCACCTGAAAACACCCGACACACAATCCAGCCGATGTGATTATTACACACACATACACAAGTGTGAACAAATGCACACACATCACACCTCACCTTCAGTGCATGTACAGACACAAACACACATTTTGCTTCTTGACAGATTCTACACATATGGCTGAAAACACACACACACACACCAACATCTGTGCAGGGCTGCTCGGAGCCTTCAAAAGTAGCTGCGGCTCCGTTTCACATGCTGAGGTCGATGTAGCCGTTTTGCTGTAACATTATAGCCGCAAAAACGTCCATTTATGTTTCCTCTCTTCCTCGGGGTAATTAGCTGGCCTTGAAGTGGCTTTCGCTGTGCCTTCCTTTTTTTACACACACTCAGGGAGGCTGACTGAGAGCACTCATTTAACCCATAATTATCAACCCCTCTGTATTTAAAAAAAAAATAATCCCCCCCCCCTTCTCATCCCACCACAAACATACACTCACACAACTTAAACATAATTACCTTAGCTGAAACAGACGAGTGTGTACATGCATGTGAGGGACACACACACTCGCAAAAGATCAAATGACGCTTGGGCATCTTTTGAAACGGAAACTAGCTCAGTGTTTTTGGTATAAGAAGAGTAACACATATGGTCAGGTGCACACACACACTTACACACATATAAACACATGCAATGGGGGAAAAGTGCATACTCCCTTTAATTAACAGAAGTACAGTTACCCACCCTTAAAGGGAGACGTTAATCACTAGAGAGCAAATTCAGAGTACAAATCCATAGTAAATACAGGTTTTTTGGAATGTGACCAATTTAAACTTCGGGTTCATTTCTGGAATATTAAAATAGTATGCACACGAGGCTCTGAATAAAGACCACTGTGCTACTTCAGATGTGTTAGGAAAGTGGGAAATAAAGTAAGATGGAAGATCTTCACATTTTGAATGTTTCTGAAATTAACAATATTCCCGACTGGACCTTTTCCTTCCCTTTATTCCCTCATATTCTTCACTTTCAGAAAATCCAAACATCTGGAATTTCAGAAAGGATGAGGTTCAAATGTGCTGCTTTACTGGATCACTGATAATGACAGAGGCATGTTGTGATGCAGTACTGCACACAAACACTAAGAAATGCGGATGAGAAGTAGAAATGTTTCTCACATTTGAACCGCATGCAAATGTAATTGTGACCATCATTAAGTGGTAGGTGTATCATCCTGATGTGTGGTCCTCAGCAACATTCCTCTGTTGGTTTGCAAATGAAGTCAAATAGCCTCCTTTAAATCCTCTGCAGGAAATATTAATCGTATGTCTTGAATGAACTCTAAATATAAGGTGACATTGGTATCAGCAGATAAAGGCTTAGTTGAGAAGTTTCCCAGAAAACACATTTGATCTCTGCATCTAGGATCAGGTGGGAAAAACTGTCGGTACCGTCGGCCATCAGCCACAACGGATGAAAAATATTATCATCCCGATTACAAACGTTTCATGAGGTGGGAAATCCATGTTTCAGGCCTCAAGGATACACACACAATGCATGTCCGTTAGAAAATAGAAATATATATGTTAGTTGTAATCTCCACTAGTTGGTGCATAATGGTGGTTGTTTGAAACATTCATACATGAGAAGGGTCAGAGCCCGTATCACTGTGCACACATTAATCATGTAAGCAGCCGTAAACATGAAGAACCTCACTGTCAGACAGCAGCAGCACTGAATAATAAATGATCTGTTTGTTTGATTACATCAAAGACGTGATTTCTTCAAAGACGCGATTACTTAAAAAATTTCAATTAGATATTAACACCTTTTTAAGTGCGTCAGGAAATCGTACTTGTAGCCCTCCGTCTCTCTGTAGTCTAATTTCACTTGAAAGGCCTTTGATTCATCTGGATATTGTTGCTGCCTTTTATCTCCACTCTATTTGAACAGAAATCTGCCGCTGAATACAAGAGTTAATGGGATCTCAGACATCACTTGTTTGTAATGACGGCCCTCCACCTTGACCCTGACACACACACACACACACACACAAAAACACTTGTACGTATGCATTTCACATACACAAGCGTGCGAAGAAACGCAGTTGCATGCTTATGAGTGCACACAAACACACACACGAGCACGCTTTCATTTAGAGGACCTTATGCTGATAAAACACCTCTAATGTATTCTCCAGCCTTCAGATGACACACTAAGTAGATCCGTCTCTTTTTTTACATTTGAAGCGGAAATTAAAGCGTCCTCTCTTTTGTTCGCCCCCTTCAAAATGCTTTTGAGACTAATGTCTTTAATCTCAATTTTCACGGAGATGGCACATTCAAAACACTCATTCACTTTCTTCCTTTCTTTCACGGTCATCCTTGCCTTGTGTGGAGGAAATAAAAAAGCATTAATGTGGAATTCACCTTGCTCTCTGCAATCCTTTCAAGTGGCTGCAATCAAACTGTGTTGCAGGGAAGAGATTTCCCACAAAGAGATCTGAGCTCCACGGCGTCATGTTTTGTCATCAAATGAATCGAGGTTGCACTTAATACATCGTACGTCAAAGACAAATGAAAACAACCATTTGTATACATGTTTTAGTATGTGAACTAGCTCAGATCTGTGAAACGGGTGGCACCTTTAAAGGAATAATTGGTTTGGTTTTAATAATATATAAATTGCAGACATATATTTCGAAGTGGAGGGTAATTCACATCCTTCATACCATGCAATATATATATCATTTTACTTGCTATGTTTAAGCAATAAATTAAAGCTGATATAAAAATTGTGATTCAAATCTTAAAGACACAATTTGGACGTTTCATAACATTTTTGTACCTTCTGAACTTCCTGGATCGTCTGAATTTAAAGTAGAAAAGAAATCTTATAAAAGGCAAATTTTTCCGTTTCCACCTTTTTAAATTCTCTTGAGCTCGACTTTCATACGCTCCTGTGCAATATGTCTGTGGTCAAATTGAATGACTGACTGTTTTGTTTCTCTGAAAAACTTTAATCTGAGCATTTGATCACAGGTCAAAGGCTCAATCATTAAACATGTATCTATCAAAAAGCGCTTTA